TGGGTGGCTCAGTCGTTAAGCGTCTGCCTTCAGCTCAGGTCATGATCCCAGGGTCCTGGGATCGAGCCCCGCATCGGGCTCCCTGCTCTGCAGGAAGCCTGCTTCTCACTCTCCCACTCCCCCTGCTTGTGTTCCCTCTCTCGCTGTCTCTCTCTCTCTGTCAAATAAAATCTTTAAAAATAAATAAATAAATAAAAAGCTTCTGCACAGCAAAGGAAACAATCAACAAAACAGGAAAAAAAGACAACTGACAGAATAGGAGAAGGTATTTGCAAATGACATAGCCAATAAAGGGTTAGTATCCAAAATACATAAAGAGCTATAACTCAACACCAAAAAATAATAATTAAAAAATTGGCAGAGGACATGAACAGACATTTCTCCAGAGAAGACCTCCAGATGGCCAACAGACCCATGAAAACATGCTGAGCATCACTCAGCATCAGGGAAATGCAAATCAAAACCACAATGACGTACGACCTCACACCTGCCAGAATGGCTAAAACCAAAAACACAAGAAACAGCAAGTGCCGGCGAGGCTGTGGAGAGAAAGGAACACCCTCGAGCACGGTTGATGGGAATGCAAGCTGGTGCAGCCACTGTGGAAAACAGCATGGAGGTTCCTCAAAAAATTAAAAATAGAATTACCATATGATCCAGTAATTCCACTACTGGATATTTACCCACAGAATATGAAAACACTTATTCGGAAAGATACAGGGGGGGCCTGGGGGGCTCAGTCGTTAAGCGTCTGCCTTCGGCTCAGGTCACGATCCCGGGGTCCTGGGATCGAGCCCCGCATCGGGCTCCCTGCCCAGCGGGAAGCCTGCTTCTCCCTCCCCCACTCCCCCTGCTTGCGTTCCCTCTCTCGCTGTATCTCTCTCTCTGTCGAATAAATAAATAAGATCTAAAAAAAAAAAAAGATACACGCACCCCTATGTGTTTTATTCTTTTGAGATTTTTTTTTTTTCAGGTGATCTCTACACCCAGTGTGGGGCTTGAACCCACAACCCAGAGATCAATAGTCCCATGCTCCACTCTCCAAGCCCTCCAGGAGCCCTCACCCGTTTACTGCAGCATTATTTACAGTAGCCATATTATGAAAGCAGCACAAGTGTCCCTTGATAAATGAATGAAGTTGTACACGCACACAATGGAATATTACTCAGCTGTAAAAAAGAATGAAATCTTGCCATTTGCAGCAACATGGGTGGATCTAGAGGGTATGATGCTATGAGAAATAAGTCAAAGAAAGATAAATGCCATACGATTTCACCTATATGTGGAATTCAAGAAACAGAGGAAATTTAAGAAGAGGCAAACCCCAGGGGCGCCTGGGTGGCTCAGTCGTTAAGCGTCTGCCTTCGGCTCAGGTCATGGTCCCAGGGTCCTGGGATTGAGCCCCACATCGGGCTCC